AGATGTCAGTTTTGACTTCACTACTGCTTGGAGAGTTTAACGTGGCTTGAACTCCAAGTTTACCAGTTAGAATCCAGGACTTCCCTGCCTGCTCCCCACCAACTTTATTATTCTCTTCTTGTGGCATTGCTTCTGCTACATCAACTCACATGAGAAGCCCATTTCTCCAGTTTCCATTTTAAGAAAGAACCCACCTAACATTTCATGAGTTTAGAAATGTTATGTAAGATTTGAAAGGTTTTGGAGAGAGCTACATGGCAGGACTTGCAATTTTGCCATCTCACTTTCATTCCTCCTTCATCTTCCTGGAGCAACAAATTCTTCCTCATTCTGCCTGCAGAACAGTTTTGTCCACATTTGGTTCCTTTAGGATCTAATTTTCTATGCCAAGCACTCATTCAGGTATTTTGTTTTTTCTATACAAACATAATTCTTTTCCCATGCAGAATGCTGAAAAACAAAATTATCTCATCTTATTTTTTTGTGTGTGTGTATTTTGAGATTGTGTGTGTGTGTGTGTGTGTGTGTCTGTCTGTCTGTCTATGTGTATTTTGAGATAGTCTCACTCTGTCACCCAGGCTGGAGTGCAGTGGCACAATTGGCTCACTGCAGCCTTGAACTCCTAGGTTTAAAGGATCATTCTTGCCTCAACCTCTCTACTAGCTGGGATCATAGGCTTGTGCCACTACACCCAGCTGCTTTTTAAATGTTTTTGTAGAGACAGTGTCTCACTATGTTGCCCAGGCTGGTCTTGAACTCTTGGGATCAAGTGGCCCATCTGCCACAGCCTCCTAAAGCATTGGGATTACAGGCTTGAGCCACTGTACCCAGCTACAAACACACACACATACACACACACACACACACACACACGAACACATACATAATTTTTTTTGAGACAGAGTTTCGCTTTCTTACCCAGGCTGGAGTGCAGTGGTGTAATCTCAGCTCACCGCAACCTCTGCCTCCCGGGTTCAAGCAATTCTCCTGCCTCAGCCTCCTGAGTAGCTGGAATTACAGGCATGCACCACCACTCCTGGCTAATTTTGTATTTTTCGTAGAGACGGGGTTTCTCCATGCTGTTCAGGCTGGTCTTGAACTCCCAACCTTAGGTGATCCGCCTGTTTTGGCCTCCCAAAGTACTTGGATTACAGGCATGAGCCACCACGCACACCCAACACGTATATTTAAAAAGAACTTAGAAAACGTAGCAAGAATAGTCTAAAAATCACCCATCATGATTAAAGACTTAAATATAGGACCTAAAACCATAAAAACTCTGGAAGAAAACCTAGGCAATACCATTCAGGACATAGGCATGGGCAAAGCCTTCGTGACTGAAACACCGAAAGCAATGACAACAAAAGCCAAAATAGACAAATGGGTCTAATTAAACTAAAGAGCTTCTGCACAGCAAAAGAAACTATCATCAGAGTGAGGAGGCAACCTCCAGAATGGGAGAAAATTTTTACAATCTATCCATCTGACAAAGGGCTAATATCCAGAATCTACAAAGAACTGAAACAAATTTACAAGAAAAACAAACAACCCACCCCATCAAAAAGTGGGCTAAGGATATGAAAAGACACTTCTCAAAAGAAGACATTTATGCAGTCAGTAAACATATGAAAAAAAGCTCATCATCACTGGTCATTAGAGAAATGCAAATCAAAACCACAATGAGATACCATCTCACTCCAGTTAGAATGGTGATCATTAAAAAGTCAG